AAAATCGGTAGGAATTTAGAAATGCCATACATGTCACAAATTGTATCAAAAACGAAAATTATTTTTTACAGACAGCTCAAAAAACATCTACCATTTATATATGAAAAATAACCCATGGCATACGTCCAAAGTCAAAAGATCAGTGTTAGGTAGAATTAAAGTAGCATTTAAAAAAAAATGTTTGCAAATTATTTTGTGTTAGAAATTCATAAAAAATTTAATATTTACCTTTGTCAAGAATAAAAGGTTTTGGAATGTCACATTAACTTTTTATGAGTATAGTATTTTGAAGTTCAAATTTTCAGCCTTATTTACTTGGATATTAAACCTTAAAAGTAATGATTTATCATCGAACGATTTTTATTTTGTTGTATTTCAAAGACAGAATAACCGTTGATAATTAAAAATTTCACTTTCTTTACATGATTTTTAAATCATACATACATGTTCCAAACATGGGCGTAGATAAGGGGGGGGGTTTGGGTGTTCAAACACCCCTCAAATTAAATAAAACAATCTTGAGCTTTTTGTGAATTTGTTCGAGAATATTATTAACTCGCATATTATTTAGGTTTAGACAAAAACCCCCTCCGAAAATATTTCCTACCTACGCCCATGTTTAAGCTATTTTTAAACATTTGAAATTTGAAATTTTTCTTCTTTTTTTCTCTATAAATATCAATATGAATTTGATAAACAATGATATTTTCAAATACAATGTTTTCCGCAATTATATCATAAAATATACTAAATTATATAGGCTGACTTTTTTGTCTTCACTTACAATTGTTTTTCGTATACAATGATTTTATCAGAGCGTTTCCCAAATTTAAAATTGTTTTAATGTACTATTTTTATTCAATAACAGTATAATAAGCTTTTAATTTGTGCTAAAGTATGTAACTATGCTTTGTGTTAGTTAAAAGTCCCATCTAATATTTGTTATGGATGAATTTTTAAATACCTGTAGTTCAAGAAAAGTTTTGTTTCACGATTTCTTGGAAGTTGTCATAAACATTTATTAGTTAGATTTTGAACAGTCATAAAAATAAAATATTTGTAGGTTTTTGAAATATTATCAAAGAATAAGTAAATTAAACTAATCAGAATACAAATACATTCAATATTTCAATATTATTTCATTTTTTATACTAATATTAGAAATATATGTAGGGTGTTCAATTGTTTTTTTTTTAGTGTAGGTGCCTATATAATTATAACTTGATTAAATGAAAAACAAATTAAGATTAAAATCTTATTATTTTTAGTCTGATTAATATCAGTAGTTTTATTTTATTATTTATAGAAATAAATAAATGCATTTTGTTTTTAAAGTTTGTCATAATATTGAATGTATAGTACCTATTGACATATAAAGAAGAAACAAACACAAATGATAAAATTAAAACTTCCTTCTGATCAGTCAAAAAATAATTATATTACTGGGACGTTTAAATGACAAAATAATGTATTTAGTAACAAAATCAATTTCTTTTTATCTGAGAATACCATTTGACAGCATTTTAATTTTCATAATTAATTTTAATTAAATATTTATTATTATAAATAATTAATTTAAATATATGTTGTACAATCTAAACTAGTAAATCTTTCACTAAAATATAATTAAAAGTAAAAAAACTTTATGGTTTCTTAAATATTTTTCGTTAAATATGTATATAAAAAATGAATATCAAAGAAAAAATTCTGTTATTAATAACTGCTTTAAAAAATGTCTTCGTGAATTGATAATTTAATATTGTTTTGTAACATTATTTTTTTTCGTACACAAAATATTTTTTGTAGGTACCTAGGTGAATTAAATGTTCAATACTGATAATTGTGTGTTTTTATAAGAAAGAAATGGAGTTATGACATTGCTTCTGGCACTTTCTAAATTACTTTTTCCAACATTTATGAGCATTTGGTCAAATGATTAATTATTAAAGTAATAATATTAGCTTTAAAAGCTTTTCCTCTAAACTCTAAAGAATCATAATAAACATCATACTATATTCAGTCATCTATGTCTATTATTAATTTAAAGACTACTACCCTCGATACACCGAGTGTATTCTTTACAATTTTTTAGTTATCAAATTATCCATTATTATTTCAATAGAATTTTAAAACCAATTTAATAAAAATAGATTTCTTAAACATTTTGATAGGTTTCCAAGAACTTAAGTAGGTATATTCAAATTGAGGTATAGAATTATTTCTCTTCGTGCAGTTCTTATATCTTAAGGAATTTATGCTATGAAATGTTTTATATATTTTTATATTATAATTTACGGTAAACAGTGTCTGATTATATTATACTATCCTTAACTGGCTTATCATAAATATTGAAAATTAAACTGAAATTGGTTTAAAATTATTATTTTTTGTCGAAACTTCGAAAAATATGTAGATATGTTATTAAGATTTATTTGTTAACCTGCAGTCAACAAATCTATCCTTTACAGTACCTACAGTATATTATTCTATTGGCGTACTCAATTATATTTTTCATCTCAGATTCTTAGCCTAGCGTGAAATCATAATTGTCGGTATTTGTTTTAAAATTATGGTTTTTTTTTTATTATTACATATTAAACCTATTTAAAAGTGTTACTGAGTACTGGGTACTCTTTTATGATTTTATCAATATTTGAACATTAAAAAAATGTTAAAGTTGACTATTTTTATAATCCTAGTGGACTAAGTGGAGAATACCTTTATAATTATAAGAAATAATTTTGAAAATCATCATGAATACATTAGGTAATCATTATGAAAAAAAACTTTATAACTTATATATAAATAAATAAATTATAAGTAAATATATTAACTGATAATTATATTTTATTAATAATTCTTAAATTTTGCTTTTTATTGAATTTCCTCTTTTGTTATTTTTTGGATAAATGTTAATTTGTATACAACTTTTCTTTGGTTGATAAATTTAAGATTCATAAATATACGCTCTATACATAGATATAATATTAAAAGTTAAAATTAGTATTCCGTTTCTGTCACGTATTTTATTTTTGAAAATAATGAATACCGGTAAAAAATAAATATTTTTTATCTTTTGAACTTTGCAGTCCTTTCGTGAATGTAGATTGATGTACAATGTACACACTACCTGCCAAATGAACAATCTTCCAAAAATGCAAAGAACACTCTTAGTTTTTATCATATTTTTAATGTTATCATGAAAATTGCTTACAGTGTAAAATTGAATACCATTAAGTATACACTTAACACCAAGAAAATATATAAATATATTAAAACAGTAATTAAAATTCCAAATACTTATAATTTACCTATAAGCTATTTAAAAAGCCTTGGATTGGATAAATTATTTATTTTATTCTTTAAATATGTCTTCAATGCGTGGCGAAGAAAGGGATTCCTAAGTCAGATTTTAACATTTTGATGTTCCTATTTATTCTGAACTAAAAAAATTATTATTTGTTAAAACAAATTAAGTCATACCTTAAAGTTAAGTATTAAATTATATTGACGAAAAATAATAACATCAGATTTTCTATTAGGTACTTCAAATTTACAAATATTTTAATAACCATATCATTGATATATATTTATCAATGGCCATATGGAAAACCTATAGATGTTCTGACAACTAAGTATTCTTTTTGTTTTCACACCTAAGATACATATGTTTCTATGTTATTTAAAAATTATTATCATCGGATTAATACTAAACGTATACAAAGTAACAAATAACAAATGTATTAGGTACACATTATAACTTATTTAATTTAGAGAAAATTTAGCTGGCCAACTTTGACATAGTTAAGGACAATTCATTTTTTTTTTAGTTTAAACTATTTTTTGTTTCAAAGTAGTATTGATATTTGATAGTTTGTAAAATATCATGTCCTCATTTCAACAATAGTTTGATATGTCATGGATATTCTTGTTTTTAAAGAATTAATTGGTATAAGTATATTATATACGATACTAATGATAATGTAAGGCGAATACAAAATATACAGCAATTATTGAATCAGTATTTCCTCGTTAATTTTCTATATCTATGCTGTAATATAATAAAGAGAATACTCGAAGGACTTTTTCCTCTATTACGAAACATAAGTTACCCTATTGTCCTTGAAAACTGTTTGAAAATCTAAAAATAATAAAGTATATACAATAATCAAACTAGAATAACTATAGAATGTGTGACAACAACTCTCACCTTTCTGTTTTCGTCATTTTTCCTTTTTTAACTGTAAAAATATATTTTTTTTAATAGTATTTACAGTAATACACTAATACATAATTAACTTGATTATACTTACTCACTTTGTCGTAATTTGCCTCACTGGTTATATTGTATTATTATTTTTCATTTTAAAAGCTATGATTTATCATTTACCATCGATTTAAAGTGAATATTATGCTTGGCTCTAAGTTGAAAATGTCGAAAAAAAATACTTTAAGAAAGTCCTATCTACATTTAACTACGAATGTATTGGATCACTATACTATAACTACCTGCAAATAAGTTTCCGAAAAGATCAAAAACTTAAAACCATTTTTTTGTTCTATGCAAAATATGAAATTGTGAGTTAAAGAATCCGCAAATCTATTACATAATTTTACCCTTATCAAAACTGTCAAACAGATTGTTTAGATATAGAATATATTATATTAAAAACAAAAATAGAAATACGGAATTCGTGATTGTATGTACACTATCAAGATTAGACTATTATGTGAAACGATTTTCAATGAGTAACACGTGTCGGTTAACTGGATATTAGAAAGCGACTAAAGCTAATAATAAGAGTAGGTAATGTTATTGGATAACACTATTGCCTTGTAAGGGGATCACATTGATAACAGTTTCACATTATACTACGCGACCTACTAAATGGCTTAAAAACCCTGTAATTAGCCAACCGATTAATTGTTTTTACTCTCTGGTACTGTCACATTTAAAATGTAATCAGAATTTTGTTAATCATTGTTTCTTTTCTTTTTAGAATACCATACTTCCGGAAGCTGTGCGTTTTTGGGAACAAGCACTCATGGTTCGCAAAACCGAAAACGTTATTCGACTCAATCGGTAATTATGTGAAAAATCTATTTTAAATTAATAATATACATTAACAAAAGAAAATTACCTGATAAAAACGAATTGTTGAAGAATTTCTACATCTGGTGATTCTAAGATGGTCAGAAATCAAATAGAAAAAAAGTTTAAGTAAATTGAAGAAACAATATTTTTAACAGCGGTAATTATCGTGCAAATAACAATATTTTGCATAATTTTAAAACAACATTCAATACTAAAACCGTTGAAATTTAATTTTAAAAATCTGGAGAAGTCACTATCAATGGCGATATCTCTTTAAAAATAACTTATGAGGGACCTTATTTTAAAAATTCAATCCTTACTTATTAAAATTGAAAATTATATGCGTTTTTAACTGACATTTATTTTGACAACTATTGTAAACATTTAAATTTAAAATGATTCTAAAAAAATTGAGCTTTTTTATATTTTTTACTTTTTAAAGTTTGGTAAGAAAAACTTATAAGAAATTAAGGAACCTTGTAATAAATTTTCAAGGTCTTAAACAGACATTTTATCATAAATAAATAAATAGAAGAAAAATTAAATTAATTCAAACATTTAAAGTGTCTATATAAATAATAAAAATATTTCAAAAATATTTTGAAAATTATATCATACTTAAAAAATGTTCAATATAATATATTTGCCAAAATTTCAAGTTTACGGTAGTCGGTAATTTATTAATAAACAGGAAACTCGGAAACTGGTTTTGCATAAAAATTCCCGGGTTTCTCTTATTTTTTTTTGTATTTTCTGCCGAACATTTTCACCCACGGAGTTGAAAATTTAATCATTTTTACTAATCTAAAGATGATGACACGCAGAAAAAACACATTATTAAAAAATCGATACATTTGTCGATCCGCTTAGAATCTAAAATAGTTATTGGTTATTCGGTTTAAATAAAAAAAATTAAGTAGTTTTTATAATATTACACACAATTCATATACAATACGTATCTAATATTTCTGGAATACGATACAAATGTGTATTATTATTATTACATTTATGTTGACGCTTGGTAATACAAGTCTACATAATATGATAAGATAATACTTATTATATTAATATCTATATCTATGTACTATTTATCGACTATTGTGACACACCTTCTAAAAAAATTTTTAATTCCAAAAACAAATAGAAAATATTTACCATTTAAATCCATATGTGGATTAATAGGACTAAACATGAGCTTTTTGAATTTTTTCTGGTTTTTTAATGTCTTAGTTTATAAGGTTTATCATTTGTCGATGAGAATTCGAAGATAATACTGTGGAACACTTTATGATATTCGTTGTATAAGAGGTTTTGGGTCAATCAAACGAACATTGAAAAAAAAACCTAGAAAATCATACTAATATAATTTGGAAAATGGGCGTATGTGTTTATTCAAAAATGTATATTTAAAATATGTATTTACTATTTGAATTTAGGACATTTTAATTTTAATTTGAAATTTAAATTTAAAATTTATTTAGTTGCAACTTTTATTACTTATTAGGCCGATATACATGATGTGTATAATCTGTTAAAATATTGTTATAAACTACACATTTATGGCGATCATTTGCTATCAAAATATTATGAGCTGCATAAAACCGTAATAGTAATAAAATATGGCTTATAAAAATTATACCGAGTTACAAAAAAGTATTTTTTTAATAGATTCTATGTCAATACTTAACAACAAATAATGTTATTGCTGTATATCAGACAGCGATAAAAAAAAGTTTCCGTGTTAGAAATCGCGTTCTAAACTATTACATTATTTTAAAAACAAAGGACTATTATTTGGCAATATCTATGTAATGTTGTCTACCTCTAACTTACGATGTATCAGTATCAAATAAATACCTATAAATAAAGAGTTCGAAAGAAAAGGATTTTTATGTTACATTAGACAAGACAGTTAGTAAGTTAGGTCTTAGTGCAATCTAACGTGTACCTATATATTAATGTAAAATGTAAATATAATACAAAACATATATTACTTTGCCGATGCTCTGGTAATTACACGGAGCAAATGATAAGACGGCACACATATTTGTAGCTGGCCGATAAATTATTGTTCTTAATTAAAAATAGTTAGGTGTGATTTGACAGGGACTCTGTAATAATACAAAACAAATGCAAGATGACATCCGCGTCTTAATATTATGTGGCTACTGTGTTTATCGTACTGTGTTTATCGTTGTATAAAAGATAAACAATGTAATGGTGGTTCACTGGTATAAGACCCCTAGTGATTTTTTTTTCTATTTCATTCTTAAATTATTTTACAGAAAATGTGTAAACAATCAAGTTTTTTATCGAAAAGGAGATCCTCATCCATACTGTAAGAACGCGTGTGAAGACCGAACGATGTGCGGTGAAGTGCAAGTTCCCGAAGACCATTTAGAGGTAAACAGTGTAACGATAAGAATAAAAATAATATCAGGTACCTAGTTATATTTTTATTTTTAAAAAAGAAGTGATTTTTCACGTTGTAGGTGTCTAACAAAAGTTCTGCGGTTACATTTTTAATTTACAAGTAGTAAATACCTAACCTAACTTAACATCAACGGTTATTACAATATAATATGAACGTTGTAACTTGTGGTGTTTTAAAATACAAAACTCAAGAACTGCCGTATCATTATGGCATGATGATATTATAATAATATACGCGTGGCGTAACTCTATACTTGTGCATAATATTATACCATGCTAGGTCATGTATTTTAATTTTTTAATGTATTGTATTATAATCGTTTGTCTGCGGAACAAATAATCTCCTGTTATTTGCAGGACAGGTTTGCGCAAGTGAAATCTGGGTGCACGTGTGCTTAGCCCCAAACATTCAGGAGACCCGTATATATATTACACGTTTTGTTAATATACTCAAGTATTGAATCATATTTCCTTTACCCTTCCCTAACCTTTAAAAATATCTAAAATGTTTGTCTTTATTATATGAGTATTTTTTCTGATCAGCAGCTGCATTGATGCTCAAAATAAATGTTCAATAGACAAACAAGAAATAATGATAATTTTATCGCCCGTGTTTATAAAATATTTGTACACGTAAAATCGTAGACTGTACTTGGAAAAGAGAAATCATTATGTCGATTGATTTAAAATAAATGGAAGTGCAAAATGTTTATTACAAAATTATGAACTCTATACCTACTATATTGAACGTATCAGACTTATAAATAATCTAATAAATAAATCATTTCTATGGCTAGGGAAGAGGGGCTAAGTAGGTACACTGTCACTGTGCAACAATTTCGTTTAATCGGGCCCGAACATCGGCATATTGCCACATTGATGCGTCCATATTGTTGTGGCGCGCACATTTCAACTTGTTGACACTGACCTATAATTTTTATTTCAACGGTGGTTCCTTAAATATACCTTGATATATTTAGAGAGTTGATTTTTCTTTCCGCAGAATCCATTCTTAAATACTCCAAGAATGCTCTGTTCTCTATGTCTCGTTCAATAATCCCGTTTCTTATGTTTAGGTAAATAATTCAATAATATTTTTGACTTTTCCGAATGTTGATTAGTTCTTTGGTTTCTTCTCTCGATATTAATGCCCGTTGAGTACTCTGATCGTACCAAAAATCGTATCACTTGCCGCAATTAAAACTAGCAGCATAAATAATTGTTATGATATATTATTGAAGGTATTCGTTTTTTCTAAACGTTCTGTATCCGACCTGTTTTTTTTTGTTAAAAAATATGCCCAATCTCTAATTTTTTCTGGAGTGATTTGATTTTCATATTTTTTTTTCTAAGAGGATTGTACAGGGTGGATTGTATTTCCATTTTTAAGCTATATTTCTCAACTCTGTAGCAAGAGGGCAGTATTTTTGTTTTATTTTTGAGCAGCTTAATCAAGAACCAATGTCGAATACACTATTATAAGACGCTTTTATCTTTCTAACAAAAAAAAAGAAAAATTTTTGAAATCAAAGCAGTTTACAAGGGTTGAGAGTTTTTCCTGTATAGCTTGTTTTGAGCAAAAACTCAATGAGAAGTTTTTGAATTATTTAACTTTGTGTAGGTACCAAGGATAATAATATAATATGTAGATTCATAATAATAAATTAGGATTATATGGGGGCTATAATGATTTGAAAATTATTGTAATTAGTTAATATTATTTTAAATTATCTGAAATAGACCTGACTATAATATAATAAGTACTTTAGTACTAAATATATAATATAGATTAAATACCTATACATATATTTTATAATTTTGTAAAACCATCTTTGAGGACTATTCTAAATATTAATTAAATAACTTAAAAACCACTCGTTTGGATTTTAATTTAGACACATCATCTCACAGGACACTCCTTGAATGGTATAAAATATCAAAGTGTTTTTAATTATTATCTTTAAGTGTGCTTGAAAATTTCAAAATTAGAGAATATACCTGGGAATATCGACCTGCGTGTGTAGCTGATAAAGTGTATATTAAATAAAATAACCGTTTTCATTATCCAACTGTATCTTGTACCTTTATATGTTTAGGCGTGTAAGACGTGCAACGCGTCGGGCATGGACTGCGGCACGGGAACGTCGAAATCAGGCGTGGGCATCGAAGGCGCTGACTTCGTGTTCTACGTGAGTGCGATGGAGACGGAACGGTGCCACAAGGGTCTGACAGTGGCCTACGCGGCCCACTGTCAGCAGGAGTCGGCGCTGGACCGGCCGATTGCCGGGCACGCCAACCTGTGTCCGGAGAGTATCAGCACCAAACCGCAGGAGCTCGAGGTCCTTCTGTCCACGGTCAAGCACGAAATATTGCACGCGCTCGGTTTCTCCGTGAGCCTGTTCGCATTTTACCGGGACGCCAACGGATATCCGCTGACCGCCAGGGAAGACAACGGCAAGCCCAGGCTCAACGAGAAGTAAGTTGAATTACCGACATACTTTATACTTATCCCGTTCCGTATAGGTACCCATCATCGCAATGCGAACTGTTTAGTATATTTTAGGGTATTTGCTATTGTTGCCTCTCGAAGTTAAATCAGTCGATAATTTTTGTACGAATTGCCTCCTGACGTACCCTAAATTGAATCGTAAACAAAAATAGGTTCTAGTTGCCTCCCAATTTGCAGATGATACGTGTAAAAGTATTTACTAAATGATTCAAAAATTGTATGAGTATATTAAATTATAATATATTATAAATAATTTTAATTATATTACCAAATGTTTTTTTTTGTCTAATTATTATATTATTATATTTAATAGTTGTGTATTATTTGTATAAATGAATATAATATATGCGTATTAGACCGATATTTTTAGCTGTACACATAATTCTATACATCAAAAAAAAAATTCATTGAATAACACGTTATTATCACTAATTTAAGAATGAAGTTCTTCCTATACTTAAAACAAAACTACGATGTTTAATATTATAATAAAATAGAAAAATATCTCTAGTCTATACTATACATATATAAAACTGATTTTTATCATTATTATGTAATATTATAATATATTCGATGTGGGAGGCAACTCGTTTTGTATTTACGAACTGCCTGATCATCGGAGTCAATTAGTGTACCTATATTAACCTTTTTATTCAAGATAAGGATGGGAAGCGATTCATATTATATTTTGGGACGTAACTATAGTATACACTGATATTAAATATCAAATATCAAATGTTTATGTCCTGGTTGGGCTCACTCGTTATGACTGCAGACAACAATACAACATGCACAAACAACAATAGTATCGCTGAGTTTTGTTAGGGAACCGTTGCAATTAATTTCATATTTTCGTTGATTTTCAATAAGACGGTTTTGTTGTTTTCTTAGAAAACAATTGCGTATTTTACAATAATACGAATAAAATCGAAAAATAATATCACCTATAATAATAATAATGAGATGTCAGTGTAATTTCAAATGCAAATTATATCAAAATTGCATAGATATTGCATTTTATGTTTGATAAAAATAGGTCGTACTTTATATTTTTCTGAATCTAATGAACTTTGACAATTATGTTGTGCATTTTATAACCTTTATATTATATTATATTGGTTGAAGATATCTAAAATTGTGATATTTTATTTAGTCCACATAGATTAATTTTACTGTAACATTTAAACGTATAAAATACTTGACTGGTACATATACAGATACAGTAGATAGAAAAAGCTTAAAATCCAGAATTCAACACATTGAACAAACAAAGTTGTAGTCTAGTACTCTAGTAGTAGTAGTATTATATTAGTTGAAGGCCAATTTAGTAACAAATACGGTATGCCCTCCAGTATATCTAAACTCAATCCAAAACTTAAAAGTAAGAACTTTTTATATTTTCTACACTGTTTAACATATAATAATAAATTATTATTATTACTTACAAATAAACGTCTGATTATTATAGACTTCAAGCAAGGCAATGGAGTGATAAAGTAATCAAGACGGTGGTAAGACGCAATTGGACAGTACATGGTGGCGTGGTCGACAAAGAAGTTCAAATGATGGTAACACCTAGAGTCGTAGAAGAAGTTCGAAAACATTTCAACTGCTCCTATTTAGAAGGGGCTGAACTGGAAGACCAGGGGGAAGATGGCACGGCTCTCACGCATTGGGAAAAAAGAATTTTTGAGGTATTTATTTTTAAAATCATACCTAATTGATTCTATTTGTTGTAGAAACATTTTAATGTATACAATCGCTTATTAATATCGTTATAGTGTTTATTTTAAGATCGATTACTGTGTTAAAATGTATGTTGCGTAATATTTCCTCAATTTTTAAAGTTTATTTATAAACGAAAATGATGGATTTGAGACTTTGACTGCAGCATTATATAGTATGAGAAGTATATTCTACATCTTATTATTTTCCAAAAAAGCCTGTCCCAGCTTCGTCTTTTAAGTTTTTCCAATCGACCAAAGTAATCGGTAAATTGGGTTATATATCATATGTTATTAATTTGATTACTAAACATAACATTCATAAAATTAGCATCAATCATAAAATAAAAAGTGTAATCAATAAACCAATTGTTTTACATTACCTGTAAAATCAAATAATATTGTTTTCTGCATTCGTAACCAATATATTTAGAACATCTATAGATTGGATTTCAACTCAAAGGCTTTTATAAGTTTATAAAATGTTTGAGATGTATTGGAAACTTGATGTTTTATATGAAGTTCTTAGTAGGTGTATTAAAATTTCCAAGTGTCAAATTCAATTGAAAAATACCTTGTAATTCTAGATATTGAATACATGTTCGAACACAACGATTATACCCGACATTGCTTTGGTAAATAACAATTTTTAATTTGTATGAGCCATTTTCTCTAATAACTTTGTCATAAGAAAAGTGATTTTCTAATTACCAATTCTGATTTTTTTTTTTTTAGGAAATTAAAAAACAAATAACCGTAAAGACCTGAAATGTTCATAGATTAATAAATAATTTGTATTTTCTAGACATTTTACCATTTTAAAAATATTTTGTTTCTTTTTGGTAAATTTAAAAATTGAAAATGTAATGCAACTTTTCTCATAAGCTATTCTTACGGGAATTGAAAAATATCGAAAACACAGTCACTATTGCATTTTAAGCGTTTGACATTAAGTTGGATTTTTAACTTTTAAATCATCCGTAAAATAACGAGAATCTAAAACACTGATTTTCCTTTTAAAATATATGTACACAAAGAATATAATAATTTTATTGTACAAGTATTATAATTTATAAGTTATATAAGTAACAATTTTTTCCATCCTCAAATACAATGTGGTAATAACTATATAATAATCACTTTTTATGTAGGTATGTGTACAACTATGGAAAAACTAGAGTTTGATTAAATTAAATGGTTATTATTTATATAATTTATATTTATTTAGCTTTACTTAATTTATTCTAAGCCTGCTTTACTTGACGATTGTACTGTTAAGTAATATTGAATTTGAATTTTTCCCGCTTTTCATAATATTTATTTGAATTTGTTAAGCAGAATTCGATCTGACAAAAATACACTATACGCTTATGTAATAACTAAATAACTTAAACTGTGGTCTGCTATCTATCTGTCCCGCGATGGATGAATAGGTAACAGAGAACGTCTGTAATAAACATATATGGATATTGTGAATAAATTACTTGTGTGCCGCTAATAAATCCTTAACCCGTATACAATTGTTTTTGTATTGAGAGACAGACGTAACATATTTGAGCTCAGTATGAAAAATTTACCTGAAAATTGGTAGGTAACACGCATTTGGGTGCACTTATAAAAACACGTTTGGGCTGAAACATGAGTAGAACAACTTATGGCATTCAAATTTTTACTTGTTTTTCTAATTTAAAATAACTCAATGAATCAAATCATGTTTTTGCGGATAGTACATTTTCGTACACATTGAAACTTTTCTTACAAAATATATATACACTGACTGTGCGTGTTTGGAAAGAAAAATTTTCTTTTTAGCAAAAGAAACTAAAGGTAAATTAAAATGTGAACAAGGATGTTGAGAAACTTCTTTGAAGAAAAATACATTAAATTACAAACGAAAATTAGAACCACGTTATGTGGCAAAAACATGTATCAATAAAATATATAAAAATAAAAAATAGGACAACGTTTGCGCAAAAAAATTAATTCATCAAATAAGTATAGAATAGTTCAGAAATTTTAAAAATACACACAAAAATAAAATTAGGAAGTTAAAAAAAAAAAATCTTTAAATATTTTTGAAAGAGTATTGAGCCAATCTTCTCATGGGAACTTCTAGGTAATACTAACAGACTTGAAATTAGTATAATATTCAAATATATGCAAAGGAGCTATTAAGAAGGGAAATATTACGCCCAGACTTTGTATGGATTTACGCCAAAGGTGTTCTGTTTTTGGTAAATTCGCTCAAACGTGTTGCGCCTTGACTCCCTGAGAGATTACAGTACAACTCCGATGGTCGAAAATAGTTCAACGGTTTATATCTAAGCAATTACATTTTTTATTATTAATATAAACACCCCAAAGGGTCAAAATACAAATAATATTAATTACAACATTAAAATTAATTATTGAGTTTACAAAATTAATTAAAAGCATTAAGCATATTATTAATTCTTAATTCAGAACATGTATTATAAAAAATATATATAAATAAAAGGATTACCTGATTTTGGAACGCTGCAGCTGCACAGAACTATTAGAAAAAAGTTTTTTGTGGATGTAGGTGTAAAAAATGGCTTAAGTCTTCCTAGAGTTGAATGTTGGAACTTTTAAATTAACTTATTATAATAATTCAGGGAAATCTACTTTTAACGATTTTGTGTAAGAAAACAGTGTCCAATAACAATCTTCTAACTACCAATGTTTTAGTCGTAGACTTATAGCTGTTCAACACTCAGATTGAACCAACTGGATTTAAAAGCACTTTTGTATTCAGTTTTCACAATGAATTCGCATAATGATGATTGATACCTGCATTTCATTAAGTATGTTTCATAAAAACAATGGACAAAAGTGAATATGAACTTCAAAGATATTACATTTAAATACTGTAATTGTTTGCTTTCTTGATACGTCTTTAATGAAAGTGCAAATAATAATATATTTGTTAAAATTCATCCCTTATTAAATTGTCAATGAATCATAATAATAATAAATAAAATTGAATAAGAATTTCAAATCATCCTATGAATACTAAAAAATGATTTCCGCGTTCTCTTTTTGATAAAATAAAATATTATAAGAAAAACAAAACATCTTTTATAAGCTTTGATCATTTCAAACATTGTATTATTAGTAGTATTCTCGACGATAAAAACTTTCAGTAAATTTTCTACTAATATAATATAAAATCTAAAAATTGAGAATTTGTCTACAAAATATAATTGGGTTTTCATACTACCATGATTCATGAATTCGGATATTCTCACTTTATAATTAACTACTAGATGAAGAAACTATGAATTATATCTCACTTCTGTGCTGAGTATAAGTATATTATTACTATTAATTTGAAGCCTATTATAAATCATTGCATTTGCAATACAATTACGAGCGTATAGCACGATTACCTATTACATTTAATAGATATTTTTTTAATTTTGAATGCCCTTAAACATTATTTTCTAGTAAAGATTTTTAGAAATGATTGAATTAAGTAATAAATATTACATAAGTGACCTCGTAATAATATTAACTTATCGCCAAAAAAGTTAAAATTCTATTAAATTAAATCTAAGAACAGCTAATAAACTTTTTAGAATTTTGAAATTTATTGATAAAAAAAATTCACTTGCTATCTTTTCAGCAAACAAAAACGATTAATTATTTATTTTTATTAATACAAATTTAACATGAGCACTATTTAGTTAATATGTGTCAGTATATATTTGTATTCTTCATATTATTTGATTTATAATAATACTCATTTAGTATTATTAATTTATAAACTAGAATACATGGGAAATGATAATTATTTATTTATGTTTACATATATATATTAAGTGTGGGTCTGTATATTTTTGTTTTGCACGAATAAAAACTTTTCAGTTTTCTTAAGATAAATTTGTCAAATTTAATTTAAATCAATAATTAATACTTATTAAATGACTTATAATAAATAATTTTGGAATATGTCCTTTATAGTTTACTAACTTTTAAATATTCTTCTGATTAAGAATTTTTAAGCTTTGGTTTCAGGTTTTTGTTTATTCTTTTTTTATTTCTATAATATAATTACATTTATTTTAACTTGTAAATAATACCATAACTCATTAGGTATATATTGTTGTATCAGTTATTTTTAAAATATAAATTCCTATACTTCTAATCAAATAAGTAATAATTGAGTATAAATAAATATCGAATTGAGAAGGTAACAAATTATTGAGATATAAAAATGTATCAATTTAAAATGTTTTTAAAACTTGTCCTTGATAATTAAATTATTACCTAACCGTGGGGCGTACTATAGAATATAGATACCCATTATTTATAACCTAATTTCTCGAGGAAAGTGAAAATCTCAGCCTAAGGTAGATATAGTTACTCCCGAGAATTTAGTGGGATAAAAGCGTAGAATACTTGAGACTTGAGTTGAGACTTAAGTCACGTATTCACGTTATTTATCATTAAATCGTTGACTGCATTTCCACTTCACTATTAGATAGCACTTTTTTCATTTAAAACTTATTACATTTAAACGTTTTCTAGAACGAAGCGATGACGGGTACTCACACACAGAATCCAGTATATTCTCGATTGACACTAGCACTGATGGAAGATACTGGATGGTATAAGGCTAATTATTCATTAGCTCAGGATCTCAGCTGGGGCAAAAACTTGGGCTGCGATTTCGTGACAAAAAGCTGCAAACAATGGATGGACATGAAACGTGCCAAAGGCCAGTCTATTCATCCATTTTGTAATAAAGTGAAAAGAGATCCTCTAGAAACCGAGTGTACGGATGATCGTAGCTCAGTAGCCTTATGCAACCTAGTCGAACACGTGCAGCCCTTACCAAACTTCTATCAGGTCAGTAACGTTTGTATAGTTGTTTAGTTCATTTTTTTTTCCATGTAACCTGTAAATATTTTGAAAATTTAATTTAATACAACTCAACATATTACATACAGCAGGCACATTGTATATACCTATAGAGAGATTTATAATTATACATGCCTCACGGAAGTGTGAAAATTCGGGTTTTGTGCGTTAAATCTAAGAAACAAATGTATCTGTTGTTTTGTTGTAATATATTTTATGAAGAAAATACTTACTTTACACTTATATTTTTACCAGCTCTAATTGTATCTATAATCAGCTAAAATTATAATTGTTATAACTTATAATAAACTAAAACTAAATTATATAGTTATCGAATGATGAATAATCGTCTTTGCCAAATTACTCTGGTAATCACGTTATCTCTCATAAATTGTTTTGAGTAAAATTGAATTAATAATATTATTTTATTATTTGTGCTATATGTAGTAAATAGTATATACCTATAGTAATTATAGTTATAGTTAAAATAAATATGCCTAATATGAATAAAAACAGTTGTTTCTAGGACTATAAAAACTAAAAAAAATAGAATGATATAATTTCACAAATCTAGGTAGGAAAAAAAAATAAAAAATATAGGTAGGGTGTTATTTTCAGTGTTTTACTTTATGAAATACAAAATGATCAAAAAAATAGTTTCATGAGAATACAGTAAATTAAGTTGTAAGTATAATAATATCCTGTTTATACACTTTTAGTACCTTCCTGTCTTACACTCCTACAATCCTACCTACAACATTTTTGTTAAATAAACATTTATTTGGAAATCACCTTTTTTCTGTATAATTCATTAAAATGTAATAGCGATAATATCCCATTAAATTCTGAAAACAAATCTAAAAACCACTCGGTTTGCTTTTAAAGGTTATACTTACAGTTTACAGTACTAAGAAAATATGGAAAAAATATTAGGATAACGTTTTATTAAAACTTCAAAAACCTTAGTACCTAGGTGGCTAGGTATAACAAAAAAATTAATTTTAAAAAAATATAAAAATATATTATTGCAATTAAAATTTAAATAATTTTAAAAACTTAAAAGTTAAAAAGAAAAGTAATCTTAGTGAATTTTGAATTCTAATTCAAATTAATCTTCTATTAATTTAGAAATTGAAATTGCAACTTTCATAAATTAAGTACACATTTTAAAGGATCGATTGAGTCCATAATGCTCCAAATTCCATCATTTAATAGTGTCAACATTTTTCAAAAATTTTGTTTTTTCTATACGATAAATACATAAATAACCTTTTAAATTTGTGTTGGATAGTAAATGATTATTTTCTGGAACGCTATAATAACCATAAATGATTAGGTATATTCTCACAGAAAGTACTGCATGAATTTCAGAAAGTATTATTTTTAATATTAAGCTTTAATTCGTTCTCTTAACCATGAAAATTAAAACGCACAAAAATACAAACCTCAAAAACCACTTCCGTGAAAAATCAATATATAATAAATATAATCAGGATTTGCTCAAAATGTAATTAAATTCAAGTTTTAGTAATTAATGGCTTACATGCACACAAAACATATTTTCCGTTGAATACAGTCAAAATGCCATGTTTATTAAAATAGTTATAGATCCTATATTATTACAATTATAAAATAATTTGCAACAAGTATACTGTATAGTAACTAATATTTCATTTAATATTTTTTTAGCTGCTATTTATTCCATTTAATATTATTAATATATACCGCGGCATATAATCATAGATTTCACTCATTTTAAAATTGGTAGTGTCCATACTTTAGGTATCCGGGATATTCTCATTTAATTTAAGTTTTTAAATGATGAACAATATGTTTATAAACTTCAAGCCGACGTTGGTTTTAATTCCACGTTTCTATTTTCTCGCTCACGACTTAGCTCACGATATGCATTTTCCGTCGCCTTCGTCTGACGAGTTTCATGTCTAATAATACATCATCATTCTCACTCAAGATATTCAATCGCGTTTGGTTTTTACGCGGCAGATACACCGCGAGATTGCTGTTATTTGTATAGCCCGGTCCCATCTCAAACCAATAGAAAATATTTGGCCATTTGCATTTTAATTGCGCTGGGGTAGTGTTTTGACGGAAAAAGCGTGTTATACCTATAACGCGGGTTAAAAAGTGACAAACTACTACAACCGCCCTTACCACACTTCAAACTATAATGTGTTTTGAATAGTGTGTAAAACGCGGTTTACCAAGTACGCGGTAGACGAAACGCGACGAAATACGCCGTACATAAACCCCAGAGTTATTCATTTCGGTAAATTATGTTTACCAAACAATTGTTTACCATTCAAACTTTTTCTTATTCGTATTATTTCTGTCTAACACTTTGAGCATTCTGTTATACTTTCGACTGTAAGTATAAAATTATATGTTTCTTTAAAATATTTTACTTATTAAAAATTATATGAAACAATTCACTAAAAACCTTTATTCGTATGTTTTCAATGCTCGTAGAGTGCACATTATTGTATTTGTTTATTTTCAACATAATATATAATTGCATTTTTTTTTTTTGATTGTTGGATCGTCGATGGCAAAAGTAATTTCTTGCTAATTACTCCCTCATAATAAAATTATTTGTATAAAGTAAAACATGGGATAGCAATTAGTAAGCCATATTTTTTTATAAAAATTGTACAGTTCATACTTAATAAAATAATAAAAATATTATATCGTACATAATGTTATACTGTACTATATTATAATTTTTAAATAGTTCAATTACAATTATAAAAATATATGTGCTTAATACGGTCAAACAACAGTTATACCATTAATTTTAAATACTATAGTATTTTTTTTTTTTATTGATCGTTACAGCTTCGGCAGCATAGGCCATTAGCTTATGAGTTTTATACAATTATATAAGTACTTAAAATATATGCTTAGAATAGGAGAGATAACTATAGTATTATATTATAATATTATAAAATGTATAAAATAAAAATACCAACGTTATAGCGAGTACCTATACTACTACCAGCATTATTTTATTTTTAACATTGAAACGTAATCCATATTTTTTATTTTTTTTTTATTCCAAGTAAATGATTTACAATTAACCAAACAATTTTTTTTTTTTAAATAAATCGTATGTAATATATCGTAATTTTAATTATTTTATTATCCTACATTACTACATAATCATATATTATTTCATAAAAATTTTGTTTTTAACCTCCATTTTTGTTTTATAACACCCATTGTACCTTATAAATAATGTCTAACATACATAGGTAATATTGGTTTCGTATTTAAAAAAAGATATACATTTTTTTTAATGTTAAAAGTAATCATATTTAATATTATAAGTTTAGTGAGGTACCTACACAGGATAATCCATTTAAGTACTACACTCATTATTTTAAAAAGTTCCAACTATTATTGCCATTATATTTTTTTAAGTTTTTACTTTTTCGAATGACACCATACATTTTTAATTTCATATTCTGAAACGGAATATTATTTTGAGTATTTCAATTTATAAAGATCTAATTTCGGCCAATTAGCCAATTTCGGTTCATTAGTTATATAAACATTTGAAGTTTAGATGAGCGAAGTAGGGTGATACAGGAGTATCCCACAAAATGTTGTTCACAAATCCACTTAACTAAACTTTTAATACTTATAACTAATGAACTACTTGTCCGAAATTTGAAAGAAAGATGTCATTATTTTCTATTTTTGTGTTACTAAAATGATATAGATATTGTAACTTTATTTTCATTTGTTTTAAATATATAAACATTTTATTAATGTTACTTGTCCTATACTGTTTTATAGATATCCAGTATTTTTATTTATTCTCATTTGTACTATATTATTTCAGAACTTCGATTACATTCCACACGTAACATCCGGTCGTGAAGCATATTATGGAGGATCTGTAAGTCTCGCGGATTACTGTCCATATATACAAGAGTTTATATGGAGGTCGAAAAGTGTGGTAATAAGAGGATCACATTGTCAGTATCCAGAAAATAATCCACGTGAGTACATAAATATATTATACTTGGAATGATGGTACACATCACTATTGTTCAGATCAATGATATAATAATATTGGATGGAATAATAGGTGTTGAAGAATGCAATACAATTTAAATATAATATGCATCTCTGTATCGGGTATAGGATTATAGGTTATAGCCACTTATAAAAATATATTCCTGAATAAAATGTGTATTAAACGTTATATTTAATGCGTTGTCGAGTTTTATAAAATAAAATGTAAACGCTTGTTGCTTTTTGAAGTTCTGTGAACGACCGATTTACTACCAGCGTATAGTCTATTTTTTATTTGTATAATAGACTGAGTTTTATAAGAAATCCTAGTAATTCGTAGTAGATAGGTAATTACAATGGTTATAGTAGGACCAAAACACAGTAGTTAAAAGAAAAATAAATGCTCCATTGTAGTTTGCTTATTTCCAAAGAACATAATATAATCTAAGTATAATATAATATTATCTTCTCAATACACAGTTGATAATTTTGTTTTGTTTCATATACCTAGATCCAGATAAGAACTTTGCATTAGAAGTATACGGAGACAATTCTAAATGTTTCGACCATACTAATCAGATGTGGGAAGAACAGACCTGCAAACAAGTTAGACAATGGCAACACTGGGGCTCTGGATGTTACGAATATAGCTGTCAAAACGGACGACTTCATATTGTTGTAAGTATTTTTCCAAATCAATTATTATCAAACAGTGCTGTAAAACATATTATATTTCGAGTGATTTTTAAAAAAAACTATATTATATTGTCATTTATTAGTATTTCTAGATTTTGTTGATTTTCCTCTGTGACATTTCTTTTTAAACTAAAAACATACATTTAAATTATAATTATGTTTCGTTTGACTTGTTTTTAAATTGGACGATTAAAGACCAGACGTTTGAATATTAGTTATAACCCAATACATTTATGTTTTTTTTTGGCTTTGAGTTCTAAATATTAATCCTGAGTGACGGCTCTCTGAATTTTTTTTTAACAACCATATTTAATTGAGTTTTTTAGGTTGTGTAATATTATTTTAATGTTTTTAAAATTATTTTATTCTGATTACGTATTTTGTTTTCAACAATAATTTATTATGTAGGCTGCGCAATAATCCGTATTTTCAATTTGCTCTAATATATTTTTGGTGTAGTTGATAATAAAAAAAAAATCAAGATTATTTAATTTTAAAAAATGCAGTACCTATAGGCAGTATAATATTATAGCCTCTCAATATCTTTTGCGTTTGTTTTAATACGAATAAATGGTTATTTAGATAGGATATCTTTAAATAGGTAGACATTTAGTTTATATAGCTAAAAAAGTCTGAATTTAATTAACTTGCGTTTAAGATGGATTACTTTATTTAAAAACTTATACCTAAATAGTTTTAAAAGAAAATATTAAACCATAAAAAACTTTAAAGTAGTTCAAATCAAACTAGGTATCAGAAATTTATATCTCATCACACAATAATATTACTCTATAGTTTTGATCACTACTTGATTATTTTCCAATAAATCAAAGTGTAATATTACGCGTATCTGCAGAATGTATATAGTGTTATGTAACAGTATATTTTTAGTTAATTTTTGTGATCTGAAATTGACAGATTATTTTCAATTTTTTAATTCGGTAAAATAATAATTATGTAAAATATTTCAAAATATAGTTTATTAATTTCCACCGTAAACCAATTCGTTCCTGGTATATACTGCTAATTAAAAGTTCCGTATATTCTATCTTCCACATCATGTAATTGTCATGGTAACCAATAAATAAAGAAATTGTTATTATTAATTAAATACTCGGAACTCTATTATTTAAAAAAAAAGTTTAACATAATATTTTAAAGTAAAAATAGGATATAAAAAGGGGGTGGCCCTTGGGCCACGGTGACGAACCCTGAGCTGATAAGGGGTTAGTGGGCGAAGCTAACTGGGGTCCTTATAGTCTATTATAATATTCTTTCTGTCTTATACAAAAACGATCGCGACCCATAATATACATATAATGTTGATAATATAGCTACGGCATATCTATATCATTATTATATACATGTAAGGTGATGAGTATGAAATACTTCCACATGAAATCTTCACTTTGAAATATTTCAATAAAATATTGAAAAATATATTTTTTAATTTTGTGTTTTTTTGAAATATGTTTCATAAAATCATCACTAGATGGTTAGACTAATTTCATACCTGATTAGTGGTTATCAATATTTAATTTCCGATCACGATGTAGACAAGATATTATAATGATCTCAAAATATATAAGATAGATAATAATTATTATGTAATTTATATGATGTACAATGTAAGCAATATTTCTATAACATTTTCCACTTAACATTGAACTAAGTGGAGATGCTATTCTAACTTCATCCTACTATAGTTTTAAGTTAAGATATTATCATCAAAATGAAATATTTCAAAAAAATAAATTTCACGACATTTTAGAATCGAATCAGACTTCATGGTATATTATTTATCTTGTTCGTAGTTATCGTAGTGCAATACGACACACAGGGTGATCCAACAAGTATGCTCACTCCCTTTTTTTCTTTAATAGCGAAGTTATTAAGGTTCCTATTTGAAAAACAAAAATTTAGGACACTACAAAAAATCTCAAGAATATGAAAATACGGTTTTTGAGTATATTTAAAGATTCCAAAAATCAGGTTTTGAAAAACTTAATTATTAAAGAAAAAAAGGGAGGCGACCATACTTGTTGGATCACCGTGTATATGTATGCGTGATGTGCTACACATCGTAATGTTTGCCGCTTGGCATAATATTATTGTATAATAATGTTCTGTGACAATATTGTTTGACGTATTATTTGTTTGTGCGAACTGCAGGTGTCCAACCACACGTACACGTGCTACTTCCCGGGCCAGGAACTGGTCATCCGGCTGGTGGCCAACGGTTGGCTGCACAAGGGCGTCATCGTGTGTCCGGCGTGCGAGGAGCTGTGCGACGGCGGGTCGGACGACAACAAGTGTAAGCCGCCGTCGGACGTGCCACCCACCGCACCGTATCACCGCGAACAGCTAGCGTGCGGCGGCACGGCCACAGTCTCCGTCACGGCCGCGGCCGCGGTCACCACGGTAACCGTCGCCACGCTGTTACTCATGATCTCGACGTGAACAAACAACGATATGATAATATAACATTGTATTATGTATATCGTCTTTTCCGTTTCTCTCTCACTCTCTCTCTTTCATCATCTCACTGTGTCTGTGTCATCTGTCTCTTCCTATTTTTTGTTCGTCCCCCTAATCGTGTGTGTGTGTGTGCGCATTGTATATATATATATATATAAAATATTCCGTATCTGTATATATTACGAAAAAAAAAAATAGTAATTTATGATCGTCATCGTAGTTGTCATCATCGACATTCCTCATAAATCGTTGCACTTTTCCGGAGCGATCGAATTTTATCGCACTCTGCGTGTCGGTTATTGCGCTGAACATCAATAAATACAGATTGACAGCAGCGTTATTGTGTATCGAAAACTGTCTTTTTTCCGACCAACAACAACGAATTACTGTAATACAATAATATAATACAACGTCAACACGACGTGCCCAGAAAAATATTGTGCCGCAGTCGTGGTGTCGGTATTTACTATCATTTTATAATACATTATCGATTTATTGATTTTTATTCGCGATTTACGAACCAACTGTCATCATCCAAATTGTATTTACGTTTATTGAATTTGCGATCGCATGTCCGCGGCTGTTTCACGTACCTATGTACATCATAATATACATTTCAGATAAAAAAAGGCATTTAACGATTTCACTATTGCATAATAATATTTCATGAATGAACTTGACCATAGCATATAATAGTTTAATGTGCAATGCCTAAACAAAATAAATTATATGAATAATATAACTGTTAATGTGGAAATATTGACAATCAAATTAACATTTCTCAAATTCCTACTTATACGAGCGCAGTGTTCGGTTTTTCGATGTTTTTAGACGTTATTTATTGGCTCGACACCTACAGAGGCTCTTGAAATTTTTTTTTGATAACACGATGTTTTTTTAAATTTATTATGAGGTTACGATTTTTAAGCCTTTATTGCATTCCCGTTTATTATTTCTGTGATAGCTATGATTCCATTTTGTCATTTTTAGTGGCGTCCTCGGATTGGAAGTATACAACATTTTCGTAATATCTGTGGATAAGGGTCATGGGCCGAGGAACACTTAAGTACATTTTGCACCAGATTAACACTGAATGCTGCAATGATACTCCACTATTCAATCGGGATTTTGGTTTCCCGATTAGATTCCCCCCCCCCCCCATTAGAGGACATTTAAGAATGTTGAACAAATATTAGGTGCTAGAACCAATCCTGGTGATGAAAATGCTCATGTATGGTTATAAATGTGAAATAAAAAGTAATCCTTATTTAATTGTAATAAGTATAATATGTTAGAAAAAATATTGATAATACCTATAGGTACATTGTGTGTCATTATAATGATTATAACTATTCTCGTAATTCATGTAATATTTTTAATTTTTATATGAAGCACGTAAAATAAACTACTTCATTCAATACTTATATCCCTTCATTGATACAGAATACCCGAGTAGATAGATTTTCCCTATTTTATCTATATTAGTGTTGTCTAATTATATTTATATGTATATTAAGTAGGTAACATTATTAGATTTTTTTACTAACTCGATACAAAAAAATGTACCAGTCAGAGGAGTTAAACAGCTATATAATACTTAGCAAGCTTAGTTAAGCGTATAACTATTATTATATTTCCATTTCATAAAAATGCTCTCGACAAAGGAAAAAAATTGTTTCGTAACTAAATTGATAAGCAGTAATAAAGCTTACAAAGGTTTCTTTTTTGAAATTTCAAACTAACAAGTATCAACGAAAAAAACTTTATCATTCTTTTTATTCCGTAATACAATAAAAATTCAGTCGTAATAAAAAAAAGGTATCTTTTATTACTGCCATGGTCAAAAGATGATACGTACTTCTATCAGCATTTGCCTTTCGTCTGGCGTAAACATTCCGACTATATTATTGGGTAGGTATTATATTGTGTATTTTACTGTTTTCGGGCACTAGTAAAACGGATGTTAAAAAATGCTCGAAAATAAACAATAATATTATACTAACTTATTTATACTGCAAACAAACATTCCGGACTTCAGGACATTCAAGTACACCTACTTTCCTACTATATAGATACTGCTTTAATGGAGTTAATTAATTGTTTGGGCGTGTGTAAATATTTGAGATTGAAATGGAACATTTTACGCCATCATATTTAAAGATGACGATTTTTTTTTACCAGAAAATCTTCTGTAATTTTATCGTCGGTATCTTTATAGTATTGTGTATATTCTATCATAGTTACCTACCGATTTGTATTGTGTAAAAATATTATTATTTTTTTTTTAAGTACCTATTGTATTTACCAATTTATATAAAATTATATATTATATTGTGTTTATAAGTGTCACTAGACGTTAAGTTGTGAATATCCATTATTTTTTTTTATTAGGATTAGTATTATAGTGATAACGTAAAATTAAAAATAACGCAAATTTACCCATTATATGATGTCTGGATGATTTGCCTCAAAACCACACCCTAACGAGTATGTTTTGTCAAAAATTTTTTTTTTTGGCCACTATACCAGTGTCCGGGTGTTCTATTGCTAATTATTATTGTTTATTCGCTCTTAATACAATGTTTCTGAATTATAAAAATAATTACGTACTATTATTAATAATTATGCATACCTATATAGTACCTAATACTCATATTATGTAGAATCATTTTTCGTGTAAACCGAATGTAATAAAATATATGTTTTGTTGTTCCTATAATATATTTAATCGCTTTGTGTTGCTTTATGTTTATAAATAATAATAATAATAATTTATTAATGACCCAGTCCTGCGCGTTAGTGTCGTTTTGGCACGGCGAATTAGGTTTTTTATTTTTTTCCGTTTACTCACACTCGTTGCGGTCACCATCATCGTTAACAGAATACAGAAGATAATAATAATATGTATTTATATACATATATATATATATGTATTATATTATACGTGACACTCGATAATATACATAATATGTATCCTCTGGTTCTAAATATAACATTCGTATTCTCCCACTTGTGCGCTCCGGCATCACAGAAAAGGCCGTCATGGTGACAAAACGAAAAACGAGAATGAAAAAAAAAAAAACATCAAATCTTAAAAAACTGTAACGTTTCGTCAGTCGCTCTCGCAGTGTGTCCGTCGGACAAATGGACCATCATCGTCGCCTCGACGCCGCCGCCGCGCAAGTCGCACTACAGGTGCTCCTTCTGTTGTCATCGCCGGCCACCGTCGTCCGAGGTCAGTGAACACTAATTATTATAACATATTATTATTATTATTATTTTGAACTCGTCGGGTAATCAGGGTTGGCACAGTTGAGTGGGTACTCTGTGAATAATAGTTATGTGTGGTAATATGTATTCTAAATTGATTATTAACGACGTTCGAATTGGTGAAAGAAAGAAAAAAGGTCCCAGCCTGTTACAATTCATAAAAATTATAATATATCCAATTATATTATATCGTAGGCGCGGTATGAGAATGGGCGTGTGGTTACTGGTTATAGTGATTACCATCTGAATACTATGATTCTGCAACAAGTACCTAATGTGTAAATTGAACAGTTTGTAATTATTATTTTGCTTTAAGTTTTATGCTAAACTATCCTAAGTGGTTGATTTTTGCGTTTGAGACAGTAAGAGTACTGAGTGATAAAGTGGTGAACAAAAAAAAATTGTCCCCTTCCAAAATAGTCGTTGGAACAGAACTTTGGTATAAATTTGAATACTTTTATGTTATTATTGTGTACGATGATGACTACCAAGTACCAGTGCCGATAATGTCTGCACACGTGTGTGATTTCATTGGTATTAAATTACACGAAATGCAACCCGATCGCACACTCGACCGCTATTCGGACACTCCGGCTACACTTTTACGATGATTGAACATTTCGCTTTTTTCTCATCACTATTTGACGGTACCTAAATACAAGTGCACTCCTTTGCGGCTTTACCTAATATATTAAAGCAAATAGGACAAAAACTCCGTCAAGGCGTTGACCATCATACGTTGCACGACCAATTTTACACAATGACACATATATTGCTCTTTTTTATTTTCTCTTAGTTACTGTTATTTAAATTCCGAGCTGTGGTGAGAAAATCACTGGTTGCACTATTTCACTTATTATAAATCGCACACGTTGCATTGTCTCTTGCAGTAATGAGTCGACCAAATAACGTAAAACTAAATAGGTAGGTACATTTTGCGATGGAAAGTTCTCTTTACTATATTTTTTTTTAATTCGATAGTTTAGTTATTTATTGATTATGTCAATTGTATTATTCAATGGATTTCAGTAAAAAATCATACGAGTGCCTATTTTATAAATTTAAATAATAATACAATTATATTTGTATAGTATAACAACAAGTATTAACTAGTTTATATGTTAATTTATATTTAGATTTGAAAATCACTTTAAAATCAAAAATTAATTTAGTAGGTATGCAATGGTGAAAAGAACAGTAAATTTCTGACGTAGCAAGTCGAGAAAATTGTTGTTGGCATCTATATATTGAGTTTAGGTCAAAAAGTCTTCAATTTCATTAGCAGCTACTGTCGTCTGTCAAGGACCCCTCACAAATATTACTTAAAGACATTCCTACTGATCACTTTATTGAGTTAACTCATGTTTTACTCGAAAACGAATTATAACACTGTTCAGAATTTACAAAGTCGTTTAAACAGAAAACTTCGTCTTTTATCGAGCTGTCAATGTACCATAGGGCATACGATCATATTTACGAATTTCCATTGCACTCGAGTTTCATTGGTCGTGTAGGTTTGTCGCTTGACATCGTAGAGACCCCCAATTACAAAACTATTACAAACACTTTGGATAAAAACCTATATTTATTATTTTTACTAAATTCAATTGTCAAGTTCGTCTACAGTTTGGTGTTCGTTTGCAATCTTTTGTAAAATTCATATTTTTTTCTAATTAACCGTTCCAATAAGGATGGAGTCTTTATTTCAAAATCATATAGCCGCGTATAAAACTGTAAATAGATTATAGTATGAAGCCCAACATATCATTTTTACATTAAAAATTTCCGATTTTATCACCAAAGTATAACATTTTTTTTTGTTCCTACTACATATTTTATACTAGGTAAAAGTACTATAAGTATACACATATACTTTTAAGTGTAGGTACATTAGTACTTACGTATTACTCATATAAACTAACAAAAACAATGAAAATAAGTCAAAAGCGGGTTTTCGTAACCCTAAATAACCATCATTACAAAATTACAATGTCATATTTTGTTGAATAAAAAGTATTACTTAGACTTTACTCTACGCCATCTCTCTCTCACATACACACACACACACACACACACACACACACACACACACACACACACAGACACACACACACACACACACACACACACACAAACCCACACACCCATACCCAGTGGCGAAAGGAAATCTAAAATAACCCTAAATAACCCATTAGCAACCAAAAATCGACACACCACCAACAGTTTATAATAAACACAATAGTACTGTTACCTACTGTTCGCCCACTATAACCATTTTTAATTGTTTTTCACTTTCATATTGAGCACCCACCTACCCCACCCACTCCCGAATATCAAAAACCGATTGCTTCTCAAAGACCACTTTCGTTTCGCCACTGTTAAATAAATATAAATATAACATCATATAATATTGTGTAAGTTATGTATGCTCTTAAATATTGTTCATTTTGGTGCTTCAGTCCTGTGCGGCCGTCCCGTGTGGCTGACCGACGGCGATACGCTGTACTTGAGATGGCAGAGCGGGCTGGGCCCGTTGGACCGCTGCTCCGTGGTGCTGCCCAACGGCACGGAGACTACCCTGTCCGACGCGGCCGCCACCGACACCTCTGCTAATATCACGTACGTGGGCGACGGTTACCAGTCCGGTCAATGCGGTCTCAGGGCCGTGAGTGTGACGCCCGGCGCCGGCGATTGGACGCTGACGGCGTCGTCGGCGGACGGACGACACGGCCGGGACACGAGTCACGTCACATGCATAGGTAAACGCGGTCGATTTGAATATAAATATTATTTGTTTTGACTTTGAGTGACGAGTAAGAAATATGTGTTACAAACTTACAAAGCTTATTATTATCCGACCACGTTGTAGCGAAAATAAGGGACGGGTTCTCGAGAGCTGTTCGCGTGTTAAGAAATAATACGATTTTGAACAAACCCTTCGAAATTTGTAGGAAATTTAAGTTCGGATTTTAATTCAAACGTCGCTCCGAATAGTTCAAGCAAAAATATATGGTAAGAGTTATACGTATAATATGAGTGATCCAACGATTTCATCGCATAATCACGTTGTTCACCACGCCACTGTTCCATGTTTACTAAATGGCATATTGTCTTTAAACAGTTTAAACCTTAAACTAATAATATTTAATGAGAATTCTTATGTCAATTACGACTGAGAAAATCTATTTTTAAAATCGGCCTTTTCAGTGCCCCGGCTGTATTAACAAATAACTGGAAAATTAACAGAAGGTGAGGCCAACCAATGATAGACACTTTATAGTCACTACTATATTAGTATAAATGGAAGTAATTTATGATTTAGGTTAAGTTTTTTAGGTATTATTTATTTTAATCATCAATAATATAATTAAAAACAGACAATAATGTATCTTCATAAACGTCGAACTGATTTATCTGGCGCATACTAGTTGCCTCCCAAAATATACGAATTGCCTCCCGTCCTTATCGTAAATAAAAAGGTTAATTTACACAAGTTGCCTCCGATGACCAGATAGTTCATAATTATATACGAGTTGCCTCCCAAAAAGTTTCACACTAATTGCCTCCCATATAGAATTAAGTAGTGCCAGTAGTGGTTCATAAACTTCACCAAACAGTTCCACATAAATAGATAATGTTTATACTTTATTCATTATTAAAAATATCAGACTTGGTTAAAACAATAATAATATAAAAATAATCAATACAAATAAAACATATTTTACTACTTATTAAAAATATATAGTGCAGTTAAAAAACATCAGTCAAATAATAAATCTATAATTTAAACAAAATAGGAAGTAGTACCTATTATTAGTCAATAAAATAAATGTATGGTAATAATAATATAATATAATATGCATATAATGGTAAAAAATTATTTATAACATTGTTTAAGCTTGTATTTTTTATTTATTTATTACCTGACTAATGGGAGGCAACTAGTACTAGACCCTTTTCGTTTATGATAAAATTTAGGGTACGTCGGGAGGCAACTCGTATATAGTCGGGAGGCAATTCGCATACAAATTATGGGCCTTTTTGACTTCGGGGGGCAACTAGTGTGCGCCCGATTTATCTGGCACCTATAATAGGTAGTGTTATTGTTGAGAGATTTTAAATTAATATGTTTGGTCGTAAACTGTTATTTTCTATGGAAATTTATATAAAGTCTTATTTACATAGGTTATTATTTTATCCTTATTGAAATCTAGAAATAGTGTTTTAAATACGCCATCAGTCTACAATTTAGTAGTTCAATACATATTTTTATAACATGACCTAAAAAAATATTTATAATAATTTGTTATTACGTCTAGTGTTTACAAAACAAAATTTATTTTTAATCTATGGAATTAATATTTGAAATAAATTAATTTAACATGACCATACAGTTATAGTTATTAATTAACTAATTAATAACTTCATATATAATGTGGAATAAATTCCAATTTGTTAAAAGGACGCTACTCGAGCATTTGTTGTCCGTCTTACAAGTGTGTAACATAACCAATTTACGCTCAGAAGGTCACGTTTGGCTCAGGTGAGTTTAAAATTGGGCGCACACGAATTGCATACCAAAAAGGTAAACGAATCTTTTTGAACGAATTGCGTCTCGGACACAGTTCATGTTACCTTTTTAGCTATAGTTGAATGGTTCCTAAAGTGATATTGAAATAATAAAGATATGTCATGTTCACATAAAAAAATGTAAATTGTAAAATCATAATATTTTTTTTTATTTTTTTTATTTTTTACTAGATATTTACAATCTATTCATAAAATAATAAGCAAATTAGATAAGAGTAAAAAAAACACATGAGTAATATGACGGAAGAAGCTACCCATTGATGACACTACCTATTTTGTTTAGTTTATTAGGAGAAATTTGATCTAGGAATCAAGCATTTAGCAGGTCACGACACCAATTACGTTTAAGACGTCTGAAGATATTCACATACTTAAAAAAAAAAATTGTAACTGTGAAAACATAATATCATAAGTATAAATCATAAGTCATAATCATTTTAATTTAATTTCGCCTGTATTTTTATTTATTGGCCAATATGTTAACATAATCTTAACGTGATTTTATTATTATTATTTTTGTTAAAAAAATTAAAAATTAAAAATAAATTTGGAAACCACTAAAAAAAAAGTTAAATCAAAAAGTAACATGAATTGTGTCCGGGACGTGCGCCGTAAAAATTAGAGTATATCGAACTATAGTGAAACTTGATGATATGAACATTATCTGTGTTTGTAAGTGAGGTTTTTTTGATGATTCAGTTTTTACGTGAGTTATGAGCATTTTTAACTTACGATATGTATACACAAAACTTGCTAAAAAATTTAACTATCTTAAAAAATCCATATACAAACATAGATAATGTTTTTTATACATAAAGTTTCATAATAAGTTGATTCACTCTCTCATTTTTAAACTGACCAGTTGAGATAACGTGATCTGCTGACCGTAAATTTGGTATGTTAAGCACTTGTAAGACGGAGACAGCAAATGCCAGTGAAGCGTCCTCTTAAATAAGAATCAACCTTTCGAAAAAAAATCCACGTATGACTGCAAATTTTGGTTGATTTTGATATTGTTATGTTGTGATATCGATATTTATAGATAACAGTTTTATTGTATTATCCTAACAATAAATTATTTATTTATTAATTTGGAGGATGAAACGACATTTTATTTCATTTAAATTATATGTTTGAAATTTAAAAAGTTTTAGAGTTTAAATACTTGAGTTTTAGTTCAAATTCAGAGTTTGTGAAAACTGAAGTTTGATACATCTTAATAATGGATAATGGACTTTACAAGTACTACAGGTACAGCAGTAGCGCACTCAAAGGAGCTAAGAGGTCACCCTCCCCTCCACCAAAGAAATGTCTTCCTTCATGAAACTATATTTCTACAAAATGAACCCCTCTTTTATAATATAAGTTTCAACATTTTCAATTTGTATAGCTAAGAGATGATCATTTAATATATATGGTTCTTACTGAAACCAAAATCTTCAAAATATGTAAGGTCGTCAATTCAATACATCGCTCTTATACATTTTAATTTTTGACAGTTTTTCGAGTTCCCGGAAATTCCCGTTTCCAATTTTATCCGGAATTCACGGGATTCCTGGGATTCCTTCCTGTGATAGATCCTAGAAATTTTCAGGAGGTTCAACCCTAATTCAACCTAACGTACTTATTACTAATTGTAAAATAAATTACTTTCGTGAAGTATATAAATGTATAATAAAATATACTTCTTATATACCATATTTTTTTGTACACATGAATTAATGATGTGTGATTTATCATCGAATTCAAATTCAACAATCATCGACACCTACTAGGGTCACCTACTTGTCCGATTTTCATTATTATACTTATTATACATTATGCTATAATACTTCAAAAAAAATTCGACTGGTGAGGAGTATTTTGCATATTTTTTTTCTTTTGTTAGTAACTATAAAATAAAGTAAGTAATAGTAAACTATAGTCAACAACTAAACAAGTAATAAATTAATAATCAATAAAATGAAAAATACCACATAACATAATAAAATAATAATAATATAATACCATATGCATATAATCCTTAAAATAAAATAATTATTGCCATAAAATTATTGTAGTTCTTAAAAGGCCTGACTGCTGTTAGTCTGTATGTAATGAGCCTAAAAAACAGCAGGCTGATTGGAAAAATAATAAGTAGTTCGCAAATGGCTACCCCAGTACCCCATAGCAAAGAGCCTAGTCTTTTCGCAAAAAAACTAATTTTACATACGACCTACGACATATGTATACTGTACCCACCCACGTCGATACGTAAATAATCTATATTATAATATTAATATATTCGGCCAAAACATAATTTATAATCAAATAAAAATACAATACCTACGATGTTTTCCTGCAAATACAAACCTGCTTTAATTTTGTTCTATTCTGTAAAGCTTAAGTAAATGTTGATCTTTTCTTCAATTTAAAACAAACAAATTCGATCAAATTAAATCATTTCGTCTGTATAAATGGATATATTACAATCATAGATATTCACTATTGAACAATATAATTTCAAAATGTAAATCGACTCAGAATTTACAATTTATCAATCGCCTATTTACAACCTTGAAATATTCAGATTTTGTATAATTGTACAAATTTGAAATTGAATATACTTGGGGTATGAAAATGTTGATATTTCAATTTTTATTTCAAGAAATGTGTGTAAGTAATACGGCTACGCCGGCTACAACAGTGATATTATGTTATCCTTTCGAAATTGTACATTATTTATGGCCGCTTCGAAATAAAAAAAAAAACCTAATTTTATCAAACGTATAAAAGTTTAAACTTGCTTAATTTACGACATAAATTAACTAGGTATACCTCCCTCCTAGTTTATGTAGGTAACGTTTTTTCAGCAAAGCAAATAAATTTGGTTGAAAGTTTAAAACCATTTATATCATACTCACACAAACGCACATGGGTAGGTACTTGAAAAATAATTGTGTTTATGCTTTGTTCTTATATTTACTAAAGAATAAAATATAAGAATAAGTAAAATATATACTATATATTATTGTATACGACGTGTGCCGAGTAACTAATCGAGGAATTATATCTGTTCTGAGGTGCCTTTGTATATGTTAAACTGCAAATCTATATAAATGTCTGCCAGTGACTGATAACTTACCGTAAACTGTACCCAATACATTATAATATATAACGACATTTTTTA